AAGATCAGAGGCAGGTTTTTTTCTCCTGTGAGAAAAACCAATGTTAAATTTATCCCTGCTTTACTTCAAACATTCTCGATTCTGTATTCTTCTGTATCTAAGAATCAAATGGAAACAAAGGAAATTTTGCAAAGCAAATTACAAATTATTTCCTTAAATACATTACTTAAATTATTTCCTTAAATAAATTAAATATATGGTCAGTATGAAAATGTTTGGGACCACCTTTTCCCTAGTTCTTCATTATAAAACTTTATTACTATATCACAAAGTTATATTTCACTGGAGGTATTGATTATTTGTGTCCCTAAATCACTGAACTGAAAAAAAAAAATACTTACTATAAAATATTTTGTTTATAAATCAATCTACTTCCATTTGAACTATTCTCAAGTTCAGAAATGAAAGCTATAGCTATGGCAAATATTTTATACAGTTTAAGGAGATTAGCAGACATACATGAGCTTAAAAAGAAAAGAATATTATCTGTTTCTATAGTGCTATGTATTTGAAAAATATATCATGAACTAGTTAAAATCTTAGACATAAAGTAAGTTTATTACTCCCACTCAATAGAACACTTACTGCCTCAGAAAGAACTTGAGTTTGAATTAATGAGAACTTGTTTTTCATATATTTATTCAATCACTGCTTATTGTAGAATACCTACCATGTGGTACTCACTTAAATCTGACTAGTGGTATAATGGTGAACAAAAGAGGCTTATTCTTACCATTAAGTATTTTAAATGATTAAATATGTGGCCAAATATTTGTGAAAAACCTTTCCTCTTAGTTTTCACTGCTATGTCACTGCTATTGCTATAGTGCTGCTATTTGTGTAGAAGTTGTCAAAAGAGCACTGTGGACAGTGGAGAGTGAGTGGACTAATGGAGATGGGCATGAGATAGAACAGGGGAGCTTGGACAAGACCAGATCATGCAGGACCTTGTAGAACATGGCAAGCAGTTTTAATTGTGTTCAAATTACAATGAGAAACTACTGAAGGATTTAAGTAGAGAAAGATACAATGTTAAGTGTATCTTAAAATGAACACTTGAGCTGCTGCAAACAGCATGAGCAGCAGTAGAGGGAGGAGTTAGGAGGTTATTGAGCACAGGAGAAACCTGTGGCTTGGATGAGTGAAATGGCAGTAAAGATGGATGGGTGCATGGATTTAAAATTTCTGTTCTGGGTATTAGTGATAGGACCCATGATTAATTAGATGTGGGGAATTAGGGAAGAAAAAGAATTAAGGTTTCTAGCTTGAACAACTAAATGAATACTGATGCCATTTCTGATAAGGAGAAGATGGAGGAGAAATAAATTTGGGAGAGAAAATCGTTTATTAGATTACTTATTGGGCACGTAATATTTGAAATGTCTATGAGAAATCCAAATGAAGATGTCAGGTAGGACTTGACATGTCTGGCTTGCATTGGAGATACACACAGGAACTATCAACTCTTAAGTATCATCTAAGACCATGAGACTGGGGCAATATCATGTAGAGATAGAGAAGAAAAGAAGTCCTAGAACCAAATACCAAGGTTCTTCCAAATATATACCCAATCCAGCCACTCTTTCCACGTAATCTTTGCTACGACAGTCATCGCTCCTGGATTATTTCAAACCACCATCATCTCCCACCTATTTTTACTCTTGCCTCCTACAACCCATTTTTTAACATAGGAGCAAGATGATCCTGGTGACAATTAAGTCAGATGTGCTCTAAACTTTCCTCAAATTGAAAAATGAGATTATTACAGTAATCAGTGAGACCCTGCCTGATCTGGCCCACAATTAGATCTTGGACTTAACCTCCTACTACTCTCCTCTCCATCCTCTCTGTTCCAGCCAGCCCTGCTGCTCACCTCATTATTGCTTGAATCCACCAGATATGTTCTTGCCTCAGGGCCTTTGCTCTTAATGCTCCTTCTGACTGGAACTCTCTTCTGTAGGTGTGTGTTTCAATTCCTTGCCTCCTTCAAATTTCCATTCAAATATTACCTCAGTGATTTCTGCAACCACTCAGGATCATCTTTATGGGTGTGTGACCTGTCTAGTCACACAGGATCCCAATATTAGAAGGGCCATCACTTGGTTTAATGCTTTGCTGCTGCTGTCTCGAAATTCTTAACAATATTTAAACAAGGGGACTTGCATTTTTATTTTTCAGTGGGCCCCAGAAATTATGTAGCCAGTTCTGTAACCACCAGCTCTAATCCTCTCCATCTTCTGTACCCTGATTTATTTTTCTCCACAGTACACATCAACTTCTAACCCATTATATTTTATTATTTGATTATCATCTCCCTCCAACAAAATTCCATGAGAGAAGGATATTGAAAATATGTGTTGTGTGCCTCCGTTGCCTATGACTGGCACACTGTAGATGCTTGACAAGGATTTTTGAATGAAAGAATGGATAAATGATTGAATGAACTCTAACATCAAGAGTTAAGATAGAAAAGGAAGACTGTGATGGAGTAGTCAGTGAAGTGGGAGAAAAATCAAGAGTGTTTTCTAATGGAAATGTAGAGAATAACGTTACAAAAAGAAGACTAGTCAAATACTATGAAAGCTATTGAGAGGCCAAGTAAGATGAGGCCAATGTGGTATTTGCTGTTGATCTCGGGAAGAGCAATCTACATGAGTGTGTGGGTGGGGATCAAAGAGCGATGAGAGTGAATCAGAGAGTAAATAGGAGACAAAGAAGAAATTTTTTTAATAAATTAGAAAAATCTCTAAACTGTTGATCTATTTTATTGTGTACATTCCATGTAGCTATCCATCTAAATAAAGAGCATAATTGTATTCATGTAAAACTGATCCTCACAAAATTTATTTTTACCCTAGACCTATAAAACTCCAACTGATACAGTACTTTTTCTAGACTTACTTCAATCTCCATTATTTTTGAATACTTCTGAGGGAGGAGATGAAAAAATATAAACATTTGCTCTGTACTCAGGAACTTTCAACATAATAAGAAAGTAAGACAAACGTCAAGTGAAAAAAGTCTGAATTTAAATAGTACTTCAAGGTAACATAGAAAAAATATCACAGTGTTAGACATAATGAATGATTTGTAACCAGCAATAATTGCAGTTAAGATTTCAGAGGAGAAAAAGATTATTCAGTCTGTGGTGATTAAACAAAGCTTTAGAATAAAGGTAGACTTTAAGACTGATCTGAAAGAATGAAAAACATATATAGAGATGGAAAATGCTAGGAAAAAAACATGTCTTTGAAGGAATCAGGATTAGGAAAAAATAAGAAATCAGAAAGTGAAAGATTGATTGAGGGAGGCTGATTTTGAACTAAATTAGTTTGGAATGGAGAGTTTAGGAAGATGAGAAATTGGATAAAGCAGATTGGGAATTTACAAGCGATTGTAGGAGCAACATGGTGTAATAAAAATAGTATTTGCTTTGGAGTCATAGAGACCTATATTTTTATCCTGTTCCTTCTCCCTGTTAACTAACTTCAGCCTGTATAGAAACTCAGTATCTTCAACTTATAATATGGTGTAATGTTACCTAATATGGAGGTTGGTTATAAGGGTTAAATTCACTAAGGTAACCAATTTAATGCACCAGATATATAATTGGTTCCCAGTAAATATTGGTCCTTCCCACACACATCCAGCATCGTGTTACAAATACTTTAAATGTTTAAGATTTTCAGTTTATTATCGAGGTGGAAGGGAACTACTAAAGATTTCTAAATAGGCAGAAAATATGTTTGAAAGTGGGCATTTTGTTAAGACTAATCTATTTTTATGGTTAGGAACATTAGGAGAAGCAAGACTGGTTAGAAACCTTATAGAAAGTAGACATAGATTAACAGAGATCTCTGTACTCTGAACTGGTATCTTAGTTCTATTCCACATATCAATCATATTCTATTCTTTATACATGCCTAAAATATTAGTTCCTTCCTTAATATTTAATAATGATTGAAAGGGCAGATCTTACGTGTACAACTTGATGAATTTTACCATATGTATAAACCTGTGCACACGCTACCCAGATCCAGATATAGAACATTCTTGGTCCCCCAGGTATCTTCTTGGTAACTCCCCCCAGCATTAATCTTTCCTTCTCCAAAAGATATCAGTTGTCATAATTGTTTTGCCTAGTTTTGAATGTTATATAAATAAAATCACACAGCTTTTCCTCTTTTGTGCATGGCTTCTTTCACTTTATATCTGTAAGATGCACCTATGTTGATGCATATAGCAATAGTTCTTTCTTTCTTCTTGCTGTATACTATTCCATTATAATTATATGAATGTATCATAATCTACTTTATAACTGATGAATATATGCTTCTAATTTTTGGCCATTATGAATAACGCTGCTGTAAACATTTTTGCATATATCATTTGGTGCACAACTGTATGCACTTCTACTGGGTGTATACCTTAAAACTGAATTACCTGAATCGTAACACATGTCAAGGAGTATCTACTAAATCAATCAATCAATCTGGTTTACAGATAAAGCTTCTAGAAGATAGCAAAATAATGTAATTTTATAACCTTAGGGGAAGAAAATATTTCTTAAATTTGTTTTAATAAACCTTGATCTATAAAAGAAAAGGTTGAAAAATCCATCTTCACTAAAAAGAATTTCAGTTTATCAAAAGTCACCTTTAAGAGAGCGAAAAGGCAAGACATAGTGGGAGAACATGCTTTGAATTCATTTAGCCAACCAAAGACTCATATCCAGAATATCTAAAGAATTCATTAACACATCAATAAGAAAAAGCCAGACAATCCAACTTAAAAAAAAAAAAAATAGGCCAAAAAAATCAAACAGGCATGTCACAAAAGGAGCTGAAAAACATAAGAAAAGGCGCTTCATTTTATTAGTCATAAGGAAAATGCAAATTAAATCCATAATGAAATACAACTACAAACACACCAAAATATCTAGAATGAGAAAAGTTGACACTATTATGTATCGGCAAGGATAGAAATTGGCTGTGACTCACATTCGATGCTGATAGGAGTGAAGTTGATAATCATTTTCATTCTTTTTTTTTTCTTAATACCTGTGGGTCAAACAAAACATATCTGTAGGCTGAATCTAACTAGGACTGCTGATTTGCAACCTCTGACAACTCCATCATGTAACAGATACGGACCCTGAGGCACAAAGAAGTTAATTGAAGTTTAATTCAAGGTCAAACAGCTAGAACGCATGTCTCCTGACTGCTCAACCAGTGTATTTTCTGCCACACAGTGTGGCTTTCCCTAAATGACTAGACAGGAAATGAAGAGCAAAGTATAAAGCTCTGAAATTGAACATATTTCACATTGTGCAAGTAAAATCCATTTCATGCAATCTTAAATGAATAAAAGGAATTTAAATCAAATTTATTTCAATTCTACTAAGGAAGTTTTAGGCTTAAAATAATAATAATAGTAAGCCTAGAACCACCTATTAGAGATTAGAATTTAGAAGGTTCAGACACAAAAGCCTTTCATAAAAAGATATCTGGTATTAGTCACCATTGTTTTCATACATTTGAAAGAACTTAATAACCTACTTAATTATTTTTTTTCTGCAGCACAAATGAACCGTTCCAAAAAGATCAATTAAATAATAGGCCTGAGAGGCATCTTTTTATCATAGGGGTTTCTTGTGAACTTACTGCCTTAAAGTTAATTCTCTTGCTATTATTGAGGAAATAGTATGGTCGCGTTGGAGTTTTAAAATTTCTACTGATGTAGCAACAGAATTTCTTGGCAGATTAAACAATAGAATCTTTGGAAACACCAAAGTAGTCTGAAAAAGGATCATCTCCTTTAAATTGGTACATCTTTAACCAGAAAGAGAAGTTTTGTCTCACTGTGGAAAAGCTTTTAATTTCAAATCTAGTGAGAAGAATTATTATTTTCTCTTATGTAGGAATTTTATGTGCAAAAATTTGAATAATTCTGTCATATTTTTAAATGCATAGATATAAAACTAGGTATAGTTGGAAACTACCACTTCTTCAGATTTTTTTCTGGCTAAATGTCTCTCTCATCCATTGTGTTGAAGTTCCATCTGCTTTTAATTAAAATTAATTATCTGAAGCTAGTAAATCAGAAAGACCATATAAAAGTCTTTAAAATCTCCAGTGAGCTTCTCTCAATTTCTCAGAGAATGTTTAAATATTTCAATGATACTGAAAATTTTCAGCTCACTGATGAAGTTCGATCAATAAATACAAATCATGTATGATTAGCTGGACTCATCATTTTGCATAAAATAAATGACCATCGACTACTCTTACTGTGGGACAATAAAGGAAAATACACTTTTCCACAAACCTTAGTTCACATGTAAAGTGATCTACTGTGCTTTCCCCAATTTGACAAAACTAAATGTGTTAGCTATATCAAGGGCAAGGAGCCAAAGCACCAGAGAGAGCAAAAAGGAGGAAGAAAGGAATTTTCACAGCACATTGTATAAAACTTTGTAGAAAACTTTTATTCACTGCTATTAATCCTTCACTTTGATGAGAAATGTATTCAATCATTATTCCTTTTTAAGAAAATGCTCTCAGCTTTTTAATACAGTAATTGAAAGACTTTTTTTAGACTTTGAATATCTGCTTTAAGTGCTCGGAACAACTAGTTACATTCATTTGAATTCCTTTATTGCCAAAGAGTCGGAGGGAAGAAAAAGTGGCCTAATAGATTAAATAATTTATTTCCTGGAAATATTTAGCAAAAAAGAAATGCGTAGACAAGTACAAACATGAACTAGACCTTTAGTTTCCTGCCAGTATTTTCAGCAATGTTTCTATAATATTATTTACATGGTTTCAGATGTCTATAATTAATCAATATTCTAAAAGGAGCACTGCAATTTGACTGTGACATGACTCTGATCTTTTCATTTTTCTCCTTTTCTATTCCTCCTTTCACCCTCAAGAACTGCACAAATATTCAGATAGAAACAGATAAAGCCATGTACTGAAGACAGGACTCAGCATGTTATCAATTTTTCCATTAGGATGCCGTCTCTTTTTACAGGATTCTTTTCCTAAAAGCACAGATATATCTCCTTTCAGTACTGGTTTCTTATGAGCTCATTCAGACTTACAAAACGGTTTTTAGACAAAGTTTGGTGAACAAAACTAAGTAGACTGGAAATTATATTGTCATTCTCTTTGCTTGTTTTGTTTTTAAACCATAAGAATATTTCAAGTCATGATTCATATCTACAACAATAGAAACATGACGTTTCAACTGGGAATGACTTATTTAGAGGAGTCATAACAAAAAAATAAAGAGCAGCACACATAGGTGACTGCTACATTAAAAAAAGCTAAATGATTGCTACATTAAAAAAAGACTTAAGTTACTCTCATATTAATAACAGTAGTAAACCCAACCCTCCCAGCATTTTCTCACTGCTTTTTTCAAGCTGTGAGTGTAAGAGGAAGCATGATGTAGCAAAAATAGCTGGGGCTTTCTAGACCTTGTTCTGCCATGATCCAACTCTGGACCCTTCAGCCCAGATACCTACTGACATCTCGAAAGGTGTTTGCTCATAAAGGACGGATAATATTTTACAGCGGTGGCTATGGATCCCACAAGAGCATGTAGTTGCAAATGAGTAGTAAGGCATAAAACTGCACAAAAGTGTTAGGTATTAAAACTCCACCTGGTTGGCTTTTGGCAAATCATTCAACCCTCTGTATTCCCATTTTCTTTTACATAAAATATGAACTGGTTGATCTCCAAGGTACTTTTTAATACCAGCTCTAAATTTGTATTTATTTGTGCTTAGTAAGTTGATTGGCAACTAAATTGAAGGGCAGAGAATAGAGCAAAGGGTTGGTCATCACCATGGTTGACGTGACTCAAGTCCCTTGAATGCAGGTGGAGGTTTAGGTAGACTGGAGAAATAAGAGCAATTCCTGAGAGCCTGCACAGACGCCAGTCTGGGCTGACACCAACCAAGGATTGACAGACAGCTCCCCTTTGGATCTAGCATCTACTCCTATTACCCACTGACTTCTTCCCATTCTTTCAATATACAATGCATTTTCCCCAATCCCCTTGGCAAAATGTTTTGGTCTTGACTACTTGAGAATAAGGCTTTCCACACCAGCTGGACAACTATGATTCTTTGCATCAAATCCAAATTGTTTTTCAAGATCTCCTCTTGCACCTCTCCAAGCCAACAGCGCCTCTCAGATTTTCCTTCTCTAGCCATTTTCTCATGTCTTCAGACAGTTCTTTTTTATAAACATTCAAAATTCATATTCATTTATTCCATGAATCCTTCCTCATATTTTCCCAAAACAACAAGACAGCATGTTATTATAGAAGAACCAGCGATTCTACATTTAATATTTTATTAGTCAAAAAGTCAATGCGTCATCCATTGATCGATGAAAGCTGATAATGGAGGATACAAAAAAGTCAGAATGAAAATACTGTTAACCTTCACTCTTTCAGCAGAAAGTCAGGCCTGATCACATAACCAAAGTATAAATCACCTGGTGTGGGAAAGACAACAAAGTAGAATATGAAAAAGAGAGTAGAAAATAACTTTTTTTTTTTAAGTCATTTCAAGTAAAATAAGTATGTGGGACCATAGTGTGTTAGAGTACATTTTTTGCTGATCTGCTCAATAATAGTTTTGGAGATCTGGGAAGTATAGAAGTGCCTTTGGACTAGAAAAAGAGGTATATGAAGTACTAGAATTTACAAAAGAAAATTAGAATCCTAACTGACGAGTTCAGTTGTACAAATTATTGCTCCCCCCTCCCAATAATTAAGCTTGTCTGATGAGAAATTCATGTTCTTGTTATGAAATCATTTCTTTCACCATATTTTCCTGCTTCATGTAGCATCAAGCATTTCAAGAGAGAGGGAGCATCAACAGCCTATTTGTACAAGCATCCTTTAAGGAGTTGGCACTGCAAGTAACATAAAGGACTCAGACATGATGAGGTCAGGCAGGGAGGTAACTTCCTTTCCAGTTAGCCTCATATCCGAAGAGAATGAGCACCACATCAGAATCTCATCCATTAAACTGTGCTGAGACATTGACTCAAAAATTCCTGCAGGAGGAAGAAGAACCATGGCTACTTTCACCTTCATCTGTGCCTTGAAAATCTTGGTTTCCGTCATAGAACAGTCAACATAGAACACTCATACTGACACTGCCTGTTTTGCTCCCCCAATTTTTTCTGAGATCAAGTGAGCAAGCTTGGCTATAAGTTTAAGAGGGTAGTTGTGTAGCAGTTCGTGCAGGTCAGCAGACTTTCTCATGCAGTCAGCCAGATGACCTCTTGGCACTTTTCCAATGACTCAATTACCAGAAGCTATATAAGTTATCCTGGAGAATCTGAATCTTTCTGCTTCCATCATGGATATCCTACATGGAGTGTTGCAGAGGTTTTCATTTGAAATTGTCCAGCATTATGTCTACTAAGTGAGTCATAGCTTTTTATTATTCATTAAGTACCATAAATATACAAAATGAGGCATCCATTTTTAATGAAAGATAATGTTTGAAAGGTAATAATGAGTCAAGAAAATGCATACATTTTAAAGGCTTTTTTTAACAGCAAATTTTACATTTTTCTCCATTTGAAATATCTCCCCCTTTCTCTAAGAGTTAGCATGTCATTCAGGTAGAAAGAAAGAATGTAGAGGTGATGACAGGATGAAATAAGTTTCTAGGCAGTTGAACAAAACCACTTAGAACAGAATTTATCTGGGGGCCAGGGAGAATTCTCAACTTCACTCCTGCGTTCGTGTTTACTTTATACATCTGCAATATGTAATGGAAGCAGCCATATTCTTTGTCCACCTACTTCATCAGAATGGCATCATTAAGGCTAAAGCTAAATGTGCATTATATAATCTGTAAGTCATTTAGATGTATTTCTTTAAACTTAAGACAGATCTGCCTTGCAGATGGGGCATTGTACTAAAAGTCAAGAATTCTGCCATGTAGGCCCAAAGCAGTTTTCTGGATGCCACCACACTGTCTCAGTTCCTTGCTGAAGAAAATTACAGACCTACATTTAAAGTTAATAGTTAATATAAAAGAGCATTTGTTTTTGTTAAGACTCATTCTCTTCATTATTTTTTCTATGCTAATAACTGTATCCTATGCAGCTTTCCTGTTCTCACAGTATGAAGACAGTCCTACAAGTTGTTCAGTAAACGGTAGGTAATCAGTAATTACTTTCTGGAACTGAAGAGCTAAAATACAGTTTTTTTTTAAGGTATCTAACATGTTGATTTGATACATTTATATATTGCAATATAATTACCACCTAAATATAGTTCTTTTAACTTACAATCATGATATGTTTTAAGAATAGGCAAACAAATTAATCCCTCAAAAGAGAAAAAGAGCAAAGCAAGTGAAGAGTATCTTAATAGGTTTGAAATATTTTAATTTAGGTTAGTGGGTAATTGCATCTATATTTACATACAAAATACAAGCATTTAAATCACGACATCGTGTTCCAACAGATCTTTGATCGGTGATTTCAACTGTTAAACATAAAAATTTAAAATGATATATCTGAGATTCGAAGCCATTCAGATTCTGCATCTTTCAATTGGTGTTGGTGATATTTTTCAAGTCGGAGTCTTCTGTTTAAAAGTCTGTGTCCTCTAAAATCTAAGAAGCGTGCACGGGAATAGATGCTATGCTGGATAACGGAAATCAATTCCTGTGGTCTGCTTTACGAAGTGTAATGATTACTGACTGGCCTCATCCCATGCCAGCCGGCAGTAGGAGTCAAACATGGGAGAACCCGATAGGCTTCTGTTCAACTCTTGTTTCCTTTCCCCTAAGTAAATACCTTTTGGAAAATATGTAGACATTTTACTCCCATGGAAATGACTGTTCTGTGTTTTCAAAATAGACAAATTTACAGAGAAAAAAAACTTGAAGGAAGAACAATAGGAATAATATTTAAAAATTAAAAGAGTAAAGAGTTAGGAGGTACTACAGGGAGAAATTGTCCCAAATATTATTTGTAATATTTACTGGGTGCTAACACATTATTTAAATTAAACCTAAATTCACCTTACTACTTTTGGAGAAATATGGTTTCTGTAAAACCTACCAGTCTATCTTAATAATGGAGACTATAATCTTCAAATCTTACTACCTAGCACTAGTAGAGGGATTTAACTTTAAAGTTCTTTACAATTGTCAAGGGACTCCCATTAGATTTAAAAAAAAAAATCTGAATATTACAGAGCCATATGTTTACACAGAAATTATTACATATAAAACTGAGTATGGGGACTACAGAGTTATAAAAAGTTAATATTATAGCCATTTTTGGCTGTCTGTATAAATGAGACTCTTTCAGCGTAAGAGCAATAATTTAAAAATAAATATTTCTCCATGAAGAAAGCACTTGCTTCTCAAATGTGACATTGAGCAAGTATCTCATGTATCAAAAAAATAACGTGCAATACTTCACACCTTTATTTTGTAATATTCAAGCATATCCCAAAATTTTCCATGAGTCTCCTTACTGCCAAACTATGAATTCCAGTTTTTCAACTAAGAGGCTAAATGAAAACAAACTACAGTTAAACAGCCATTCAGCCCAATTGATGTTCTCAGATGGATCTCCGGGAATCATAGTGTCTAAAATATTTACATTAGTCAGCTGTTTGCAGAGGCTTAATTGCAATTTCCTTTTTTCTAATTTGGAATTTTATAATTTTATGGTTTTCGGAGAGGAATTTAAACTAAAACAAATGGAGACTATATTTTTTATTTTCTCTTCGCAGTGTTAACTTGGTATTTACTCGTTTCTCAGCAGGCAGGCTCTGATCAGGTGAGTGAGGCTGTTCTTGCCTTGGGGATCCTTTCTACTTGTAGACAGTTTGCGGCTCAGACTTCTTTAGGCAATACCCTCATGACAGGGAGACCCTCAACAGAGAGGAAAGATGAAAAACAGAGCTTGTTGATCAAAATGGGAGTTGAAACCATTGAGAATTTTTTTTTAAAGGAAGTTATGGGAGCCGGCCCCGTGGTGTAGTGGTCAAGTTCACATGCTCTGCTTAGGTAGCCCCGGAGTTCACAGGTTCAGATCCTGGCCGCAGACCTAGCACACTGCTCGTCAGGCCACACTGTGGAGGCATCCCATATAAAATAGAGGAAGATTGGCACAGATGTTAGCTCAGGGACAATTTTCCTCAAGAAAAAGAGGAAGATTGGCAACAGATGTCAGCTCAAGGTCAATCTTTCTCACACACAAAAAAAGAAGTTATAAAGAATAAGGAACTACACTTGCCTGAAAAGTCTTCAAATTAGAAATAAAGTAAAATTTAATGGCTGTGGGTGCTGAAGAAATGCTCTTCCATATACACTTTGTGAGTTAAATATCACCTAGATTGTTGGAAATATGTTAATCTACATATAAAAACACCAAAGTTAAAGTCCCAAAGAATTATGTTCTATTTATACATCAGTGAATATTGCAAGAGTGCTTTATGTGGAATTATAGAGGGCAAAGAATTCTACTGGATAAAATATAATGACTACATATCAATATGATAAAGAGATGAAGCAAAGTCTACTAATTACTGAGAAAGGATAGAATGTAATATATGAAACTGTGCTAGTTAACTAGCTGACTAACATCCTCCCAATCTATAATCATAGCCTTCATTAGCCAGACTCAATAGATAAACTTGTCTCTACATTTTTACTAAAGAAACTCTGCTCTTACATTTGAAGAGCCTTCAGTTATTATTTCCTTCTCTTTTGGATGGGGAGTGAGAGCAGGTGTGTGCACATAATGCCAGCTGGTTCTAAATAGGCACCTTACACAACAGAAAATTGTTATTAATACATACTGTTGATTATTTGTCATTCTTACATTTCTATTGCCTGTATTACATAAAGACAATAAAGCTTAAATAAAGCTTGGTAATAAAGCCTATTACACATACTGCTTGTTGTCTATTATTAAAAGACTTTAGAGATGTTCACATCTTACTTTCTTAGCAGATAGTCAAGGTTTGCAGAGTCTAAGATAGAGTATAATAGCTATTAAATTATTAGCTTTCCGATTAGATGGCAAAGCTATATTAATTTATATCAAACTATAACTATATATAAATACCCACTCATACACGTCACATATTCTGATTCCTTCTCTTTATGCAAAGCCTCATTTCTATTAAGTAGGCAAAAAGCTCAAATAGAACATTCCTACTTTGGAGGTAAGCAAGTACTTACCTCTCAACTTGGAACTTCTGCCACTGAGCTCCCCAGCGAGATGATTCCACACAAATTAATCTCCCTGACCTCTTCTCTTAGAATTATATTCCACTAATCATGAATCTCAGTGGGGACCTTGTTAGCAGAAAAATTAAAACACATAAAAGAAAGAATTGGTTAAAGGAGACATTAGCTTTGTGTCTAAAGGATCAAATAACTTTTTTCAGTCAAATTATCTTCCAATTATTGCCATTCATTGGTCTCACCACAATTTATTGTATTGTAGTCAGGTTGTTGAATAGCCAAAATTCAAAGCTGCAAATAAACATTCCATAGATTATTTGCTTATAATTAAAACACACAAGCAGCTTTTAGCTATATTAAGACTCAAGAAAATAATGAGTGTCATTATTAAAAGTGTTTCCAAGTTAGGATATTTAATATTGCCCATAACCACATTGCTGATTTTATTTCTATTATAAATGCACACTCAACATGTTTTCAATAAGTTAGCATTTGGGGTTTTCTGGGCATATAACATTGTACTTACCACACTGCCTCTGCAGCCAATCTCATATTTGAAATATTAATCTCTCATAAGAGTGGCTTATTCATGCTGTTGAGGTCTTCATTTATTATTTATTTTATTTTTTAATAACCTCATGAATAGGTCCAGTTGGCCTTTTCTCAATATCTCTCTAACCTGGTTTTGGACTTCTCTTAGGCTTTAATGGAATAACCATCTTTTTTTCCTATTCCCTGTGTCCAAACAATGAAAACCATAGGGAAACTTGAAAGTTAGGAGATGAAAAGTTTGAGAGGCCCAAGAGGAATCGTATATTTGCAAACATGCAAATTATGTATTTGAAAACAAGCAAGGCTCCAGTCAGTACACATATGTTCAAACTACTTATTCAGATAAGACTTTTACTTTAAGAATGCAAAAATTAATGGAAAAGAAAAAATCAATTATGGAGATTTCCCTTCCTGGTAATTGTAGGCAAGCATCTCTCTTGTCTCAGCATTGCCGAAGTCTTGAACACAGGATGCTATGTCACATTCTCATTGCCTTCTCTGATCTCTATTGAAATTACATATGGATCTCATCCAAGATTAATAACTGTGCATCTGTTCATTTAACAGTGCAGCAAGTTTGTGATCAATGGACCTACACATGTATCTGAAATGATCAGTAAATCTGAAGAAAGCTAACCATATAATTACAGAAAATGTCTTTTTTACAAGTTGTCTATGTCTCTATTTCAATGACGTTGACTATTATAACATTGAGACTGTTTGAAAATAAATGCAATGGGAAAATCAAAACTGTTTATTCGCATGATCTCCTGTAACCTTTAATTAAACTATCAAGATGGAAAATGCAGTCTTGTTAACAAAACTGTCTTGTAAACAGAACATTTTACTAAGGGACTATATTTTTAGGAAACAGTCCAAATTTCCTTCAGCCTCTACATACTACCCTCAGATATTCTGAAAAATAAGTTAAAACTTACAAAATATCATAAGGGATTTATAAATGAGAATATCAATGGGATCATCTGGAGAAATTTGGGTGCAACTGATCCAAAAAACAAAAAAGCCGTCAATCTCCAGATTAGTTTAATTCCCAGCAAAAAACACAGGGAGTTTTTTTGTTAGGTTTGTTTTTGCTTTGTTTGTCTGTTTTAATTGGTGTTTATTCTAATATGAACTCCAATAAACTCCTCTAGAGAGAATTCCCCTGTTGAGCAGGCTCATTAAGTAAACACGTTAATTTGTTAATTTTACTAACTTCGACCAAAGATTTCTTTAACACTCTTTAGCTATAGATTATACTTTTACCACATATTTTTTTTTTGCAAATAGGCAATATAAAATAATTTTTAATTAATTCATAAAGAATGAATAAGAAACTACATGTGTATGTTTTGGAATATAAGTGTGTTTCAGTCAAAATGAGCAGTTCAGTGTCATGTTCCTTGTATATTACTGGGTGTTTTCATACTCTCTAATGGTTTTTATTGTGATCTTTAAACTAATGTGAACCATAGTTTATCCCTAGACTAACAACTCATATGTATCCGTCTGCTTCCTGGATATCCTAACTTATTCAATGCTGGATGCATCATCTTCCCACATCTAAACTAGTTCCTGCCCCATTAAATCTAGAATCTACAAATTAGGCACTTGTGATTCAATTACGACTACTTGCTCTTTTTTCTTTTTTCTTTTCTTACAATCAATCGATCCTTATATTACACTGGATTATCACTTATGTTTTGCAATTTATTCTTATTTGTGTTTATAATAATTGTTACCATTGTTATTCTGTGTAGTTCCCCTTATACAAGTCATTCCATGTCTCCCTACACTTGTTGGAGCTACTTCTCCTGACTGAAAATGCTACTCCCAGCTTTCTTCAACCGAGTGTTAAAGAGCACAGGTTTAAAGTCAAAGCTAATTCCAATTGTGTTGTTGATTTACTGCAGGTCACCTGAAATTTTGTTCATTCTGTTTTACCTTAGTAGCCACATCCATTAAGAGGATATTTTTAAAAAGGAAATAGATATATACTTCATGGAATTTTTATAAGAATCAAATTAGATAGTGTATGTAGTGTTAAGTGAAATAATCAAAATACCGTAAGCAATCACAAATTTTATTTTATTAATATTATTGGCTATTCTCATGGGCTCCCTTATGGTCTTATGCCCATTTCTTATATCACTTAATACAATATACTGAAATTTTCTCTTCGCATGCCATTGTCCTATAAATTCCTCTGGAACAGAGATTCCTTCTTAATCTCCTATGCATGCATTTATCATAACACCTGGTACAAAGTGAGCATTCAATAAGTATTTGTTGAACATAATTGTATAACCACAAAGTAATCAAGAGACTCTGAATAATCTTATTAATACATCAAAAAATGAATGAATGAATAAGTAAATGAACATTTAATAAATAGCTTTGTGATAGATCCTTTGCTGAATACCAAAGGAAGTATAGCAATCTTGTGAGATAATTATTATCATCTCCAATTTACAAGTGGGATAATTGAGGTTCAAAGAGTTTATATGCCCAGATCATATCCCCAGTTTGAGTTATAAATCAAAGAGCAAGTTTCAGTTCCGAATTGGAATATCATTACATGAAAAATATAGAGTTACGTAATTAAAATCAAATTATTGGTAATTTCTGGTTTTTTTTTTTAAAGGTTGCCACCTGGGCTAACAACTGTTGCCAATCCTCGTTTTTTTTTTTTTTTAAGGATTGGCACCTGGGCTAACAACTGTTGCCAATCTTTTTTTTTTTTTTTTCTGCTTTATCTCCCCAAACCCCCTCTGTGCACAGTTGCATATCTTAGTTGCAGGTCCTTCTAGTTGTGGGATGTGGGATGCCACCTCAATGTGGCCTGACAAGCGGTGCCATGTCCACGCCCAGGATCCGAACCCTGGGCCGCCGTAGCGGAGCGCACGAACTTAACCACTTGGCCACAGAGCCGGTCCCAATTTCTGTTTAAAAATTAGTATTTTTTAACCTAAAGTCTGAAGATAGCCGTCAAAAGGTCCATAAATCTTCTATGAGTCCACATACAGTTGCATATATGAGAAATTTCCAAGGAATAGCATCCACAGCTTTTATCACTGTCTCAAAATAGTTCATGACTTGAAAAAGTTATAAAGCAGTGTTCTAGATGATGGTTTCTCATTGTTCAAAATGTTTGATTAAACCAGTATGCCTTAGTTTTTGCTCTATTTATTTGCCACCAGCTTGTATGGCAATGCTAAGAGTATATTAGTAATACAACTTAATTTTGCATTTCATAAGTACAATAAAATTAATTTAACACCAATTTTCTTTTTCTGAGGAAGATTCACCCTGGGCTAACATTCTCTGCCAATCTTCCTCTTTTTTTTTTTGTGAGCTGCCACCACAGCATGGCCACTGACATGGTGTAGGTTTAGGTCTGCACCCAGGAACTGAATCCAGGCCACTGAAGCCAAGTGTGCCAAACTTAACCATTAGGCCACCTTGGCTGGCCTGACACCAATTTTTGAAAATGATGTTTAGTGATAAATACTACTTGGCCTACAAAGCAATCATAATTTTTGAAGTAAATGTCTATTCCACTTAAATAAGCCAATTAATTTTCAAGAATCACCTATTTACACAAAAAAGATATGCTAATTATGTCATACTATTCACTAAGACATGTCCCAAAGAAATTTATTTTGCAATACTTTGGTAGTGATTATTGTATGCATTGGTAAACATTATCATTATCAATTTTAAAAAACATTTTAATGGAGAAGTTTGAACTAGCTGGCCTCAAAAATCCCTTCCGATATGGTAATACTCTTTAATTTCTTGATTCATGTGAATAACTCAGAAGTTTTATTTTAAAAGGCCCTGCTATTTAAGCAGATCGTAAATGTGCTCCTAATAAAATCTAAGAAAAATAATACCATATGCTTTTTCACTAAAATGAGCCCATCTTGGGCTGAAACTCCACATGTCCCATTATTTGGCCATCGTCTCAGCTTTACCAGTTCCTTTATACACCACTTCCCTTTTCCATGTCTGAGACATCAACAATAACACGTTTTGTGCGTTGAAATCTCTTTTCTTTTTTCTAATGTTTCTCTGCCTTGCATCAGTCACTGTGATAGGTAGTGTGGAGCAGGGCCCTACCCATTTCTAACCTCCTTCTAACTTCTTCTCATGCTATGGATGCTGAAGAGCTTAGAAACTATACTTCTCAGACTCCCTTGCAGATTAGGGGCTGGGAACTCATGCTCTTTTCCTAAGAAGAATCCACACAGAAGATCTGGATGAGGAAGGAAGCCTGGGGAACTTCTGTAGCTCAGAAGAGGATGGAATCTTCTGGCGAGTAAGGTGCTGGAGTCATTCGGTTCTTCTGGGATTGCTGCGGTGGAGGATTTTGGTCTCCACTTTGCAGAATCAGAGGCATCGTGTGGTAAGTGGTGAAAGCAGTGCTTACAACAGTGCTGCTTTGTGTGCCCATCTCAGACAATGAGAGCTGGCACCTGAATGTGAATTAACACACTGCTTGCTTTTTGAGAAAATCTCGCTATGAAAAAATGTCAACTCAACTAAATAGTGTGCTAGTGACACAGCTCGTTTGCAGTCTGGTGCCACACTTTTTCTGATCCCAGACTTCTAACAGTTGGTGGATCAGCAGCTAGTCCACAGACCACACCTTGAGTAGCACCTCTCTAGGGTGTTTTTCCTAGTACTGTTTTTCCGTGTAGCTTTGAGCGATAGTAGTATCTAAGCCTGCTTCTTTGCAGCTTCTAGAGATTCTGTGAACTATATACCCCTTTTTTCTGTATTAGCTACATTGAAGTCTATTTTCTGCAACTAATAGGTTCTTACCTGGGCATTTGTCCCTCATGATATTATCCAGTGGTCAGGAAGACATCAGACTTTAAGCCTTTCTACTATTTTAAATGCAGGTTTCAGCCTGCGTTTTGCTTGCATTTCTAGGCCTCGCCCTGCTTTTGAAAAAAAAATCCTATACTTCCTCCTCTGGTTACCTCAGCTTAATATTTTTTTTGTTCATGCAAATAATCCTTTGAGGAATACTGAGTTCTCGAATTTCCTCCGTGGTTGTTTACCTTCAGCCTATCCTATCTTGCCTGACTTTATATACATTTTTTAAAGCTTGGGAGTGGCAGCTGTTTAATAATTATATTATATCTAAAATAACTATGGTTATGTAGCACTGGTTAAGAATCACATTCACGTGATACTATTTATACCTACAGAGTTCATAATATGTGTCTAAAAGAATAACAAATTATAGACCTTCAAAGTGAGCTAGGGGAGCATAAAAGCTCAAATAGGGTCAGACACTCCTAAATTAGCTAACGAAAGACAAATTGGGATTTCCCTGAAGTCATTCCCCAAGCAAATTCACCAAAGAGCATTCTCTTTCTTACCGTGAGCACTGAAAGCCTGTGACTTCCTAGGGCTTTATCCAACTTACGTAATTTTAGATTCTGACTGATTCGATCACCTTCTATATAAAGTACATCTGAACTTTCTATCATTGGAAACACTCTGCCGTGGTTACAGGTACTCTTTCTCTGATGGGGCTCCATTGAGATTCATGGGGAACTTACCAGACAAGTCCACCTTCTGGTTATTTTATTAAGGATTTAGGAGTAAATTGGATATTGAAAATCATTGACCTATGGAAACCAAGCTCGGGACATTTTAGTTATAAAAAGAGAATTGATAATGTTACAAAAATGTTAAGTAGGAAAGAAAACTAGAAGGACGATCATGAGTGAAGAGGCATCTAAATGTCATATAAGATGTTGAACTAGTCACACCCTTTCTACAAAAATTAAGCCGAAAAGCGTCCCCCTTGCTCCCTCAGGAGGGATAATAAGAATTTACAAGATTAAAAATATATTTTAATTTCAAATAAAACATAGTATTGATGAAAAAACAAATTATTTATATTTGAATAAAATAAAAAGTGACCACCCCTTGCCATTTCTCCTCCTCTCCCCAAAATGATCTGCTCTTAACAATTGCGCAAGTCTCCTTTTAACCCTTTCCTATTGTGGAAATAGAAGATATCAAATATCCCGTGTACTCCTCTACATTTCTCAGCTTCATTGCAGCTAGGTAACTTCATTTAGCCAATTACGTCTACAAAATTTGAGTAGAAGTATGTATCTCTTCCAAGCAAAGACAGTGCTCAAAGCCCTGTATGACTCTCCATTGACTCTTTTTTTCTTGCTGGATCAACAAATGAATCTCTTGTTCAGGTAGTAGAGCAGAGCGTTGAGGGGTCAGGAGCACTGAGTCACTGGGTAGACAGCTACCTTAGAGTCTGCCACACCCACAATGAGCTCACAACAGTAGGCCATAAATTCTTGTTGCTTTATATCACTGAGACTTAAAGATAGTATCTTACCACAGAAAAAACTTTCCTATCTAATATAGCTATGCATATAAGATACATACATAGACAAACAGGAGTATATAAAAATGCTTTTGCTTTTGTTTCTTCAAAATTGAGGTGATCATATAAATACTCATTTAAACTTGCTTTCACAAACAACGTCATCTTTTGGTTAGCCCAAGGAGAATGTAATATCTTTAATGTTAACAAAGCCCATGTAAAGAGCAGCTGAGATTCAGGACAAGTATTTACTTTAATAATGAATGAATATTTGTAAGTATCCTACAAAATTCATGCAATCAAATGATAATCTGTGATAATATTGATAATCAAGGCCTACTTTATAGTTTCTATAATCATAGTAAAATAAACACTATAATTCACAATACATTTCCAGTTTATTCGAAAGATTTGTTTTTCTCATTTAAGGTCACCTTTGAAATGTCATTCTTGGGGCTTGGCCCCATGGCCAAGTGATTAAGGTTCCTTGAGCTCCATTTCCACGGCCTCAGTTCTTGGGTTCTGATCCTGGATGAAGACCTACTCCACTCATCAACCATCCTGTGGAGGTGTCCCATCTACAAAAAAATGGAGGAAGACTGGTACGGGTGGCAACTTCAGCCTGAACTAACATCCTTGCCAATCTTCCTCAAGCAAAAAAAAAAAAAATGGGCGGATTGGCAACAGATGTTAGCTCAGAGTGAATCTTCTTCACAAAAAAAATAGTCATTTTTTTTAGGATACTTGTTTTATGCAGAAAAAGTAGAAGTTTCAAAAAAAATTTTTTTTTCTGTTTTTGCCAGGTGTAGTCAAGGTAAGTTTTGTTCCCAGATCATTTGATAGATAAAGACATCCAAGGATAAGGAGGAAAAAGAAGAAAATGTCGGGACTTGGAAGCCCAAACACAAGAAAACCTTGCCTGTCTCCAAATTTAAAAATCTAATCATAGTACTGAGATTAAGTTCTCACTGGTTCCTGTTATAGTTAATATGATCACAAGACGAACAGCAATATCTGTTTCTATTTCCAAATCTGAAGATGTCAATATGGTGGGAATCTAGAGATTGTGTTCAATTAAATGTGCATGGATTTTGTTTAATTCTGTGAGAATGCTTGATAGGTTTATCTACAAGTAACTGTTAGTTTTACGGTTAATTGGGCTAGGCCAATAACTTGTTTTTCTTTCCACACAAGTGATTCTTTCAAAGCAAAAGTAAAGAGAAAAATTCACAAAGTCACCCGGTCAACCAGTTTGGTTAAGTGGCAGCTTTATACCTGCCATTCAAGTGACTTCAACAAACATCATTGTAATTGCTAGTATGGACTTGACCTTGAAAAAGAGAGAGCTTGAGGATTACTGGTGTATTGTTCAATAAACTCTGTGTTGTCAAGCCACCCAGACTTTAAAAGCAGCAGGATGTTACAAGTTGTTTTCATATCCTGTTTTTAGGATGATGAAACATTTCACAGAGCCAGCTCAGGGATTCCTCTTTCTTCAGCATATTATATCCCGAAAATGATTACTTCATTCCAGATGACTATATTTTATAGCTCTTGTCTGTTCCATAAGTTTGGAACGGGTTACAGTTCTGCCAACACAAAACATTTACTTTCTCTACACTCATACAAAAGAAATTGTGGCCAGCTCTGCCAACTTCCTACACTCTCTGAAAACTTCCTAAGCAAGGAAGTCTTATTCAGAGAGATAAAGGAAATAAGGCACATAAAAAGTAAACTTTTTAGTTTGTGGGAAGGGTGAGTGAGGACCTAAAGTGTAAAGCACTTATATTTATTCAAACAGAATGATTTCGTCTCAGAGCGCACGTGAGGAAATTCACAGGTTCCAGCAAGAACCATTAATTAACTCAACTGACAGCAAGCTTTAATCTAGTTCCCAATCAAGACTTAGACCCCTTTGTTGGAAGAAAGAGCACGCATTCTCCATGGCTTTATAATCACTTCAAGACTACAAAATTCTACCAAAAAATTTTACGAGGAAAACTATGAGCAATCACATGGCATTGTACTTTGTTTACTTGATTATCCCCGGCATGGAATTTATTTGCCATTATGTAATGCAATTTGTTGCTAGAGTTACCAGGCAAGAAAGGGTGAGGGCTAGTTTCAAGCAGAAATGACTGAACGTCGGCTGTTCAAATTATAGCTCAGTTTCCAACAACAATGGCGTCACTTGAGAGCTTGTTAGAAATGCAGAATCTTGGCCTGGCCCCAGAACTACCAAAGCAGAATCTGCATTATAACAAGATCACCAGAGTATTTACAAATCGCATTAAAGTTTGAGAAGCACCAGACTAAACAACTTCATGCTGATTTCTCTATAATGGGCCTGCGTTTGTGTTTATTGGTTCAGTGGCTTAGGTTCTCTCTTAGAAGACTACTCCTAAGGGCATTCAGTAACTCAAGACATGAGCACTTACTGTGTGCCAGACACTCTTCTAGGCTCTTCTCAATACAGACAAAAATCTCTGCTTTCATGGAGCCACAGAGCTTAAATCTGAGTGTTCTTAAACAAATAAAGCACATGATTTCTACGGAAAATTTTGATGCATCATCCTTATTAATTCTTTTGGTGAAGCAGCATAATTTAAACAAGTAGTGGGGCCTTGAGTCCAATAATTACTTATTCATGGTCTACATATTATATTAAATCTTTGCTCTTTACCTGTTAAGAATGGGTGAAATGATAGTATTACCTAAATAACCATAAATAAATCACTATTTTACTTAGAGTAATCTTTTTTCTCTGGATATCTATTTCCAGGGTAATCCCTGGAGAAGTATAAAGACATTTAATCAGTCACAGAGCACTAAATAAGAAAATAATTGCAAAATTATACTTCGTAGAGAAAATGATTAGTTCTAGGGCAAAACATGTAGTTAAATAAATTGTAAGTTAACTTATTTGTCACCTTTAACCATTGGTCTTACATTTCTAAAAGTAAGCCCCATTATACAGTTAAACCCATAAGAAAAACTAGAACAAATCAGTGATGCCATTTATTAACCTTAACTACGTGGTACACAGAATTTCTATGGCATTGTTAATATTTCAATTAGTATTTAAGTATTCACTAATGAGCTAACTCATTTATAATTCTCAGTGTCTAACTTCAAAAAGATTAAAAACAGCACACACTAAAGAAAATAAATTATTCTCCATCCCTTTATATACTTTTATATATATATACACACATGTACACACATATGTGTGACTATGCATATGTTTATATAATACACACATGCACACACACACACAGTACCCTGAGTAAGTACATTGAGGATTATGTTGGTAAGGAACAGAAGAATAAAATTATTTAAAATTATGCATCTCAGATATAGAAATGTGATATACATGAATAAGAACTTCTGGAAGAGCCTTTACTTTTCCACATTTGCCAAGTATCCCTATGGATGTTTATTTCATTCCTGTTATGTGGTCCTCAGGAATCCTACTTTGTTTCAGAAACGTTACCACATTTACAATTTCAGCAAACATGCATTGAACATGTATTACAGATCCATGAGGAGCTCTCCAAGAACAG